ACAACTGAAAACCATTGCTACCTGGCCCCCACCTGCCCTTCAAAGTACATCCTGTCACCGATAATGCTGGCCTATGTAGGAACGGGAAGAATGATGGTAAGGATGGAAATGCCTGGAGTAGGGTAAGGGATGGGGAGAGAAGAAGGGGCAAGGGGGACCCAAACAGTTGAAAATTGTGCCAAAACAGTATGACATGACAAATGAGAGGCCTGGGAGGACAGAGGAATGTAGCCCCACCACAGCGACTCTGGACTCCAAAGACTCAGGACAACACCCAAAGACCATTTTGCAAAGAAACAGGGCTTGACAAAGATTCCTCAAAGAAAGGGGAGATGCACCCCCACAAGTAAGGCATCTCTCCCCAGCAAATCCAAACAACATAATATCCAGATGGTGAGAGATAGCACCAAAGCTGACAAACATGCCATGTAGAACACAGGAGGATTCTGAGCTCTGCCAGAAATTGATCAGGAGACTGGGATAAGGCTTGAGACAACAATTATAATGAAGAAATAATACATAAAAGGGTGTTCAAAGCAAGGCAAATCCTAGAAAACTGGGACAGATTAAAATAAATCAAAGCTTCAGGGTTTGAGCCTCACAAGGGAAGGAGAGGATTAAGATGTTGCAAATCCAAGTAAGGAAACAAGGCACCTTGGTAAGCAAAGGAATACTGGTCCAACAGTTGAGAGGGATGGGGCATAACCACACCCAACATTAATTGATCAGCAAAATGTTGAGCATGAACAAGAATGTTGGCTAAGGGCAGAAAAATATAATACTCAGAATGAGATTTGTCACCTAACAAAGAAGAATAAGGGCTAAAAGCAATACATGTAAAATGTGACATACCTGTTCAATAAGGTGTAGGAAAAGCATAGTTAGCAAACTCTCTTGACTATCAGCATCACGCAACTGGCCAAACAAATTGGGGCTGGAAAAATAGTTTAAACTGTCTTCACCATGATGAAAATCTTCCTTAGAAGCGTGTTCATGGAAAAAAGCAGAATGAACCGAAGATCTAGCAAAAGCGAATTAAAGCTTGAACTTCCTCAGTAGACATCAACCTGTTGCTCTAGGGACTAGTGACATTACTGTCTTCCATATTGGCAGGAATTTCCTCATCTGTCACAGTAAAATTCATAATACAACTTTGACTTCCAAATGAATTAGGAAACAGTCAAAAAGAAACATAAATGAAACATCGAAAATAACTGTTAACTCAAAACTTGAAGTTGAAGCTGGCAAGTAACATGAAAGAGTACAAGTCACATGAAGAACAAAGTAAACACACTGTAGTGCCAATCAAGAAAGTGAGGATTGTGCTGCAATGGAAGAGGGAGATTACCTGCATTAGTACCGGTGGTGTAGTATGATTGGTGGAGGGTAGTCACATGATCAGCACATTACTGCAAAAATGAAGGGGTATAAAAAAACTTGTGTGGTTCAAAATTTTAACAATGCTTAGAGGGAAAATAAAGGTTGAGATAGCTTTGGGTGAAAGGAGTTAGTACTGTTTCAGAATACTCAATTGACTTGCTATTTAATCAGTTTCTTCTGTAGTTAGGACAAATTTTCAGAATATTTCATTGGCTGTTAAGAGTATAGCCTTTAAATGGTATTTATGTGAAAGAAAAGCACAGGCATTACTGAAGAATACAATATCTCAATTTAAGATTATTTAATATCTTAATAATAAAGATGTTATTTGAATAAACTAAAACCACCAAAATGATAAGCACTGAATTTTTTTTTTTTTTTTAAATAGCAGCAGGTGCAATGGACAACTGTTTTCTGCAGTATTGTGCAAAATGTGTCATCTGCAGTGGATATGATGAATATAGTGTGATTGGAATACTATTACACTCTTCTAATTTTTTAAAATCCCTAAGGGACAAGACAAAGAATGTGTAGTGTTTAAAAATAAAATAGACCTAATACTAATGTATAATTAAAATCATGTTTCGTCTCCTTGGAAATGGCATTTACACCATAACAATTTTAGTCATAACAAATGGCTTTTAGAAATAATGTTCTAACCACTACTGTGTTTCTTGTATACCAGGTGACCTGAAGAGCTCTAGATTGAACAAAATGCATCATTGGCAATAACTATGATGAATACAATGTACATATATATTCATGATTCATAATTCTTGAAAACCCACAAAGGACTAGAAAAAGAATGTAGTGTTTAAAAATATAATAATGTCTGTTAATAAGATATGCACCCTAAAGACATGAGCAATGTTCTATTAGCTGGTGATTATCATTGACATTAGTATTAAGTTTATTATTATTAGCCTAATAATGTCTTATGACATATAAATTATAAACATCCTTCTTCATCTTATAAAAGGTAATTCATACCAAAACAACTATGGTTGTAACAAATGACCTATATAAATGGTGTTACAACCACTATTGTGTTTGTTGTGTCCTAGTCAGCCTAATAAGCTCTGTATTGAGCAAAACAAGTCATAGAGAATAGAGATTTCAGACATATTGCAGTTGAAATATTATACACTCTTCTTGTTGAAGATCCCTCAAGAATACTGTTGAAAAATATACAATTAATACTAATGTCTTATGGAAAATTCACCATAATCATGCTTTACGAACTTAGAAAAGGAATTCACACCATAACAGCTGGTGACTGGGTTCTAGTTCTCTCAACTTTAGGGTACTTGTAGATTATAAATCATTGTTGAGGAAGCTTACTGTGCAATAAAATAAACGTTCTGGAGTTAAAGATTGTTAGTTTATCTTTTGTAATATTTATGACTTCATTTCTTGTTTTACCACTTCCAAGCTTCTAAAGCTGATAAAATCAAAAACAGTTTATCTGAAAGAAGGGATTATTTTCTTTCTCAAAATCTAGTTGCCACACAGCTCTCTCTATGCCTTATATTCACTGTAAATTTCTAAACTTTTAGTTCTTAAGTCAACAACTTTAATTAATAATAAGCATTTAGGTAATCTAATTATATCATGGTTTGTATGTTTTGCATGCTGTGTAAAGTTAATAAAAGAATGGTTCCCCTGCTTGCTTATTTTGTTGAAGTAATGACTTTGGAAGTTCTTTTTTACTTTGCAAAAACCCCCACTAGTAATTTGAAAATACTTTGCCTTGGCTTGAACATAGAAATTAACAGGGGGAATTTCTGGAACAATTGTACAAAATTTCTAAAAGAAATATTGAAGGAACATTTATAACTATAACTATGATATAATAGATAATATTAGAGATATTTATCTATATATATATATATATATAAATAAATAAAATAAATATATATGTATATTTATATAAATATAAACTATTTTGTTTTAAAGTTTCTTTCAAAAAAGTAAGTTAAAGCACGATATTATTTGGCTTGTGACTATTATTGCTAACAAGTGAATATGAAACATATTTTGGACAACAACAATATAATACAATGTTGTCACATAGTAATTTGTATTTCAGTATAACTTTTAAATATCCCCCAAAAAGTAATTTAGGTTCAGAAACACACAATGGTTATCATGCTTTGTTTAAAGTGTCTGTTTTATATTTTTCCATTTATGTGTCATTAATTTTTAAGAATACAAATGCAGAAACAGTCAAAATAATACAACTAGGAGGAAAAGGGTTAAAAACATGATTAAAAATTAACATTTAAAGAACTGTTCATCTTCAAAAACAGAGCAAGCTGTCAAACAAAATAAAACAAGAACTTAACAATGATTCTGAAAGCTTCTCTGCTGAGATTTCCGACACATTCATGAAATAATCTTTTATTTCTTTCACAAATTAAAAAGTTTGAATCCTTACCTGTATGAAAGAAAAGACCAATGCTACTCCTGATATTAACAGAAGGTTTCTTTCCAGCCATTCTTGACCTGCTGTCAGACAACCTTTTTGGTAGATCAGATTGGACATATCTAATTCCTACGTACACAGTTAAGTGTGTCAAGTGGACAACTTCAGCTTCATAACCACAAAAATGACCATTTCATACCTTTTATTTGGATTCTATTTGGTTTTTATATAATAAAGCTACCTCACTCATGTCAAACCCTAAAACAAAGCTTTATTTATAACCATGATAAAAGATATATAAATCCTCCTCCTTTCACATGCTGTGATAAACTGTAATGATCATCCATGTGTTTCTTTCCACATTTCTTCTTCTAAATATTTAATAACAATGCTGCTAACAGTAAATGTCGGGTAATGGATTTTTACAGGACTTGCTAACAATTCTCTGTTGTTATATCAACAACAAATATATATATATATATATATATATTAGCGACAAAGATATCGAAATCAAATATAAAAACTTGGGCTTTGTTCAACCTATCCTTATAGAAAGACAACACTGTACACAGGATCTAAAATTCAACATATACTAAAAACAACCTAACTTCTACCCTTAGCCAAATAACTGAGTGCAGCATACCTTATAAAATGATTTGACAACAAGCAAATTCAAGCCTGGAGAGGTTACTGTCTCTTAGATACGACAGTTAATGTTCCCCACATCTATGCAAGGCACACAACAATGCAGAAGAAAAATGCCCTATCTTGTCACCAATTAAAGACAGACAGAACATCCATTTGTTAGTTACAGCTCTGTATCTTACTAAAAGCAAGGTCATTAGAACTATAAGAAAAAAGTAGTTTTCAAATGAAAGCTCCCATCTCTCAAATTTGTATTACTTCCTGTGTTAAAGTTCCAAGCAGGAGGGCCAGATACACAACCCTGTAGGATGATGTAAAAATATATGTAGGTTATTACAACACCCTAGTATATTAGTAGAAATACCTGTAACACTGCAACCCCTACTGCC